TCACGTCCGGTGTATAACGCAGTTAAGCACCCGGTATTTTTCTTTCGCGATGCAAGTTTGCGCACCGCGGAAACTCGCCCGGTCTCGTTCTCCAGGCGGGGAATATGAGTTGCAGTCCACGCGCGCGATTTTTCTCCATATAAAAATCGTTACATGATACAGATACTAGAAATGTATCTGATGCATCGATTTTAACTTCGTATAATGGATATTTTTATAATGGATGTTATTTTAATAATAATAACAACAGTCGTATGTAACATCAGTCGCGCTTGAAATATGTTTTGGTCCAGTGAAATCCGCGTGTCGCGCCATAATGTATTATTATCAAAACAAGCTGAAGTACGTAAATAGTACATTAGCGCATATATATTTTTTACTCCAACGACACAACGCGACAACCGTTTCGCAAGTTTCTCGGCGGAAACTCTCTCGCCAAATTGACACATTTATCAACGCCGTGATAAAAAAGAAAAAAAAAAGATGAGCCTAACGTTACAACGTGGTCTTACAACGCCGAGGTGCCAAATTCTTCCTTCGCTTCTTACACGAGTTCAACGTGCGCGCGCGTTCAAATTGTAATGTTATTTCGTCAGCGAATAAATATCTCCGTGCAATTGTTGCGAGAGATGTTTGTTCCGCGCCGCGAACAAAGGGCGTCGCTCTTTATAAAGTCGAGTGACTTCGAATACGGCGGCAATAAAAGGCGACGTGATAAAGCCGAGGTGGTGGAGTTAACTCCTCTCCCGTCCTCCGGTAAAAATGCGCCGCATTCTATTTTACCTTAAATCGCGCGGATTTCGCGGACTTCCGGCGCGCGGCGCGTTGCGCCCGTGTCCCGCCGCGCCGTGCCGCACCATGCCGGTTGCAAAATCCCCGCGCCGGTAAAACTGTCGAAACTTAAGCGCAATATCACCGCCGCCGTTTGACTTACGATTGCGACGCTATTGCGACCCGGGGCTTATCCAGCGCGACTCCGGATCGGCGGTAAAACGTTCGCTTTCTCTCTTTCTCTCTCCTTCCGTGCGAAAATCTCATCGCGTCGCGCGAAGACACGTCGCGCAATTCCGACACGATTCGCGGGATAAGTCGGAAAATAAATATAAATGAATGCCAATTGCGTAGATGTTGAATAAATGATGCTCGTTAATTTTATAGAACTGTCACCTCGCGCATTACTGCGATACAATACATGAACTCATTAATTATTAATACACACGAAATATTTATCGAGTAATTATTAATAAAGTCAACGCCTCCAGCACGCCCAATTAATCCCGCGAATTCTACGCCTTTTTAATGCAATAATGCAGAATTATGCATGTACATAAAAATATCACGTATATTATGTCATACGTAATTAGCTTCATTATTAGATATGAATGAGAAAAAGGTGTGTATTTTAATTCCAATATAAATTCGAAATATTAACATTAACTCACATATTTGAGGAAATGCAATTTGATTTGTAAGGTTTTTACTCCAACGGCAGCTATAGTTTGTACAGCATGCGTTTTTCTATAACCGATAGTATCGTCGGGAAAAAATATATAAATTGAAAGTAAAGAAACGCGTTTTTTATTTATTTATTTTTATTTATTTTATGACTTACTCTCTTTCTCCGATGTATGTTTAAAGAACCGATCGCGTTTCTTGTTGCTAAAACCGTGGCAGAAAATTAAAGGGCCAATAATACTCGCAAGCCCGAAACGTATCGCTCGCACTTTATTTCGGTGGAAATTTCGTGTTCCGCGTCCACGAATGATGGCGGAATGCCATTTGTTCTTTCCCACCGAAGTACCTGAAAACCCTCACGACGAAGGGTCGAAAAATTGCCGGACTGATCACGCGCTGTTTTTAACAGACTAACCGCACCGTTATTTACACAGCTACGGCGTTTTCGAATGCCGAGAGATATATGCTGTTTCGCACATGTCCGAGTCCCGACATTATCGTACACATTTCTACATTCATTTCTAATTTGTGTTTTAAAAAGTTACAGACATTTATTGGAGGAATTTTTCAAAACTTCTGATATTTTTCACGCTAACCTTATATATTCTTTTATTTTACACCAATAATTTTAAAGAATCTATTCTTTTATTAATATATGCATATTAATATTTCGCTTTCTCTCTCTCTCTCTCTCTCTCTTTTGTTACAAAAAATCAAGAAGTTACTTTGCAACTTAATTATTAATTTAATAATTAATGTATATTACCTTTTGCTACTCTCGTTTCTACACTGAGAAAAATGTTTAGATTGTTTTAACAAAATACGGCAAAATGTATTTTAGTGCAACCTAGCAGAATTTCTAGTTTTCGTGATAGGACTCGATATTTTGTAATTAAAATTGATAAATTTTCTATGAGGATTTGATTAATATTTTTCAATTGGAGCTACAAAATTTTTAGTTAAAAGAAACGTGCAACTAGAAATTTGATTAACATTAATCGTAGCATTCTAACAGTTTTATATCATTAATAAGAAAGTCTGATATATTTAACAGGAAGGAGTTAATCGTACTCATCTGGTAAATCCTATAAGAAGGATTCTATAAGAAGGAAGATTTGCCGACTTTCGAATACAGATATATTGGTGGAATCTACTAGATTTCCATTTATTTACAATCAGATTTTTTTCAATTGTACTTCTGTTTGTAGAGGAAGATAGAAAATAGTTAAACTTCGATTAATTCTAGCTCGCGACTTAAAAGAGCACGCAGTGGTACTTCACAAGAGGATGTAATTGTAAAGAAAAACGATCGGACAATTGAGAGAAGCGAGGATCGTTTTCGCAATGGCAAGCAGTTTAACGCAGTCAAAACCGCGACAACGCCAAGAAATTCCGCTATCCTTCTCGCTCGCGAAATCCGTAGCTTTATTACGAGCGAGAGTCTGGTGCTGCTGGCGGAATATTCGCGCTATTCCCCGTTTCTCTCCGCTGTGGCGGAACCGTTTATTTTTGTTAGAAATTCAACGCGGCGCGCGCATTCTCGCCGTGGAGGGTGCAGTATTTTTGTTCTCTCCCCCCGTATAATATACGGGGAGGAAAGAGAGAGAGAGAGAGAGATACTGCATCGCGGAGCGGCGCGCGGCGGTGGTGCGGCAGCTCTCGAGCGAATTTACCGCGCCCGTTGCGATACCGTTAAAGGCAACACCATTAGACGTACGTACGTAACGTAGCAGCGACGGCAACAGACGTATCGCGAAACGTATACGTACGTATCGCGACGGCAATAGCAGTCGGGCAGTCAGTAAATATGGGCCGAAGTAGATACCATTAAATCCAGACGCGCGATACAGCACGCCGGCCGACTGCTGCTGCTGCTGCTGCTGTTGCTACTGCTATATACTAGTGCTAGTGCCACTGTTGCTGCTGTTGGCCCGTACTTTGAATCGTTCGTCTTAAATTGCCCCCATTAAACGCACGTACGCGCGCGTAAATCGTCGCGGTGTCGGCCACCGCCGCGATTCGATTATTCGCTCTATAATTCGGCTCACCACTCTGCCCTGCGCCGATGCGCGCGTTATACGCTTCTGCCTGCGTGTTTGTTCATTATGTTCCGTTGCCGTGACGTTGATCGATCTACCGCCGTGAGATTGCACGGGACGGTTTGGGAAAGTCGTGTGTGGGTAAGCGCAAAGATCACGTGTGTACGAGGCGATTTCGTTAAATTAATCTTCAATCGCGGGAACACGGTCAGGTGATTATATCGAAATTTTTTGCGTGCGTAAAATTTGTAACTAGTACAACAAAAATACATACCTATTATTAATGAAACGAAATATATCTATCTCTGATCAAAACTTGAGAGAAGTGTGCGGATATAATTTACAGCAGAGCACTTCGATTTTTAAGAAATTACACGTTTAAATGACGGAAGAGGATTTTAGAAAATATTGTCGAATTTAGGATTGATATTGTAATTGCACAGACCGCGCGTGAACATTTTCCCCTCGGCGTCAATAAAGCTGAAATTTAATGAGAAATTTAATTAAGAAACTAATTAGTCTAACGTAAAATTAAGAGAAGGGTAAAATAAACTAAACAAGACTAAAAATCTCGATTAACTTTTAATAAATAGAACCGTCAATCATAATTTCAATTTGAGAGTATTTAAATTCTGAAAACTTAGTCTTTCGCAGTAGGTTCTTTGGTAGGTCGTTATATGTTTTCTAGAGCCACCCCTTTAAGAAAGATCAATGTCGAGATGAGAAATCTGTTCCAAGTTGTCCCGAAAGTTTTGCCCGCAAAAAGAGGAAACCTAAACTTTTTCGTGATTCTATTTTCATTTCGAATCGCATTTCATTCGAAGTTTCTTGTCATTGTTATGAGAATGTTCTTTGTTATAAGATTGATAGACGATGATGGGAACCGAGACAGAAATTGCCGTCCGGTACTTTTACGTCTTTCTCTCTCTCTCTCTCTCTCTCTCTCTCTCTTTTAACGGCAAAGTCTTGTTCGCGGTCCGATTTCGACCTACCATCAATCTTAAATGATTACTACCTCATTAGCTGATTCGATTAAATCTTTCTTCTCTTTCATTCGATTAGTTCTCATTTCTCTTCAAGTCAAACTCAAAGTGTTTGCCATGAAATCGTAAGTCGAGCTTGAAGATTAACAAGAAAATTAAAGTATTGTAACGAAAATTGTACAAAATTGAAAAAAATATTAACCGATTTATTAAAATTTTTTTTTCTTTATTCAAAAGTGTAAAAATTTCTTATATTTTATCTTGTTCTAAAATTTTATTAGGTATATGAAAATGAGAAAGCATCGAGTTTGGAAGAAACGCGTACATATATGTATAATTAATACATATATTTATAATTTATATGTCTTAAATCTTTATTATAAACTTTTATTTTCTACATGTCGATATTTTTGTCTGCAATATGCATTATGCTTAAAAAGACTGAGATGAAAGTTTCTCTCATTTTCTCGTCCGCGTCGTACAATCCGACTAATCGACAGCGTTGCGCTTTGTGATGCTTCAGGGAGCCGAACTGCAAACTGAGATCTCTGAACGTGTCGAAATGTCTTCTGGGCGGCTTGGATGCCGGCTGCTTAGGCGAGACCGTAAGGAAGGCCCGCTATTTGGACGCCCTGAGGGCCGCCGGAGCGTCGAGGCCGGCCGACGTGATGCCCCTGGTGTTGGCCCTGACAGAAGCGCCCTGTTTGCAACTGCTGGACTTGTCCAGTCCCCGATTGGCCCTGGACGATCATCCTTCGAGGCTGTTGTGCCACGCTCTGGCCAGGAACACGACCCTCAAGCTGCTCAGTCTGGAGGGCTGGACTTTCCGGATAGAGGTAAGCGAGATATCTCGTTGTTATTCACGTCACTTGTTAGTTACGCTCTAATGTTAGTTGCGCTCTATTTGCCGCGTGCGTAATGAAAAGAATGTGTAATAATAAGTAAAATAAGTGTAAAGAAAAAATTTATTGAACTCTTATAAAACGGCTTTTAAATATTTTAGTAACACAATTACACGCTTTACTTGTATTATAATTGAATAGGCAAATCGAATATGTGTATTTTTTAATTTATAAGCAATATCTACAAAATATATTATTCATTTAACTTATCACGAACTTTTAAAGACGCTTTTTCAAAGCGTCTTTGTGCCTGAACTCCGTAAAAGACGAGTTATCAAAAGACTTAAATCGGTAATCATATTTGTTACGTTTAATTTATTTCAATCTTTGTTATATTTCCAAAGTACATGATAGAATTTTAAAAATTATTTTCAAGATATGTTGACAAAATTTTAGAATTGGGTGAGCTCTCTTTCAGTATTGTCTTTCGTAATAAGCAGGAGGATTCCATTCCGCTAACAATTACGCTTCCTGCAGTTAACAGCGGGTAATTTCAACGTAAGATCCGTTATTACATACCCGCGAATAAACATCGCGTACGGAGAGTAGGCGACGAAACGTCTAACCTCCGTCGTCTGACGTCATCATTTTCGTATTTTCGCGTGCTAGGAAGAGCAGAGCTCTCGCGCGCGCGAAGGCGAGATGAGGATAAATTAGGAGAAGCGGAAATCATTTGCCCTTCCGTGCGGGCGTGCAATACGGAAAAAGTGTGAGAGACGATAATGTTCCGCCACACCTCCGCAACCGCGGAAACTCACAATAGCACGTACGAGAACGGATGAAAGAGCCGAACATACAATTAACAGTCTCTTGATAACAATGTCTGAAAAATTGCCGTTTGTGTTATTGAAGACTCGCAAAATCGTACGTAGGTTGGCGATGCAAGAAGTTGCTAATTGACAGTAATTGAGCATTTCTCTTAAAATCGATTGGCACAGATAGAGAAGTATTTATAAGAATACGAAATCTTAGCAATGCTATATAAAATCTGTAGATCTAACTTACACTTGTAGATCTGAAAAATGGATACAAAATTTAAATGTATAAATGCTTGAAAAAAATACGTTATACAACAATGGGACATTTATTTTAGAGAGCAAAATTCTGTGGCGCCATCACTACACAGTTGGAGGTCGACAATGAATTATCGATCAAGATTAGCGTCAATGCGGCCGTAATTAATCTTAATTAATTGCTATATTCGCTCGCTGCACTCGTCACTCATTTCGCCGCGCGACGCGAAATTGCATTTAAATTATCCATGTCGCGTACGCATGTTGATATTGTTCGGCCCGTGTACATCGACTGGCCGCCGTTCTTACGGCAATAACAAGTGGCCGATTCACCCTCGAACCATTAACCGATAATCGCGCGACGATGAAAACGGTGAGAGATCGCGCGACGTTCCGACCTCGACGCATCCGGTGCATCCGGCGCGCGGCGCGGCGTCGCAATCTTCGCGCTCGATAAACGCCTCTTTATGCGGCACACGCTCGCGAGCTCTTGCCCACAGTAGCAGCGATAATAATTAATATTTACCGGGCGAGGTGCAGCGGTTAAATAATGTCAGAGTACCGTGAACGTGGAACGTCGATGTCGCAACAGCTTGGCACGCTCAACCGTTCCGCCGCGAAATTTCCGCAACCGTGACTCGCTCCATGCCTTTGCCCTCCCCGATACGCAATATCCTGGCTTTCACGTAAATTTCATCATGGGAAACAGTCTCAAAGTGTCGCTCTTTGCTTTCAGTAGGTAAGCTTAACAATCATTGTATAACGCGAATTACTTCATATTCGGATTTTTAGATGCTTTGCAACAAAATATTAGAGGAATCTGTGAGTGCACGCAGATAATATTAATTAGAATATAATTATAAAGAGAGATCTTTTAAATATTTTAGCAACACAATTACACACTTTACTTATATTATAATTGAATGGGCAAATTGAATCTATGTGTTTTTTTTATTTATAAACAATATCTTACAAAATATATAATTCGTTTAACTTATTACGTTATTTTTTAAAGACGTTTTTGGTCAAAGCACCTTTGCCAGCGAACTTTGTAAAAGACGAGTTTCCTTCCGCTGTAGTCGCGTCCAAATAAGTATCTCGCGGAACCTATAAAGGGATGCAAGAGGAATCGCTCTCTCTCATCGGGAAACTGCAATATCGTTTCGATACGAAGTTCTCTAGTTAGATTCACGAGTCAATATTGTTTCCATTTCGTTAAGCTTTGAGACGTCGGGAAGAGCTGGGTGAATGAAGGAGAGGAGCAAAAAAAGAGATAGATTGATAGAGAGGGGGAAAGAAAGCAAGAGAAGGACAGAGAGAGAGAGAGAGAACACGTTTCAGAATTTACAGGGAGAGCTCGACTTCGCGGTATGCGTTCGGAATCTGCAAGACTGCACCCTCGGGGTGTATCCTCGAGTTTTCGAAGAAGTTATCGAACGCTTCCAAAGATCGACGAAAGAAATCAACGAGGGTGGTCTTTGGTCCGCCAACAGTAACTTCGTATCCCGTATAGCAAAAGGGAATCGACGGGAACTCTACGGGTTTTCCGTCGAGTGTCCGATCTGTCTGCTCTTTCGAGAATCCGGAAATTGCCGGGTAAAAACATTTTTGTAGCTTTTAACCTGGTAAAACTAACTTTTTTAAACCTCACTGTCGTGAGATCAAGGTAGTGTAGCATGTCATAACCGTGAAATCTCTCTCTTTCTCTCTTTTCCGAAGAACTTTCGTGAGTTACGCTTAGACGTCTCTCGCACGTGTATCGGAAAATTCTCAACTGGTAGCTTGCAAGCCGCATTTTATAATTAATAAATATTTTTTTATAACTTAATACGTATCTTCTTAAAAAAATCCTGAAATTACGAAATGAGACACTCAATCTTTTTTCGAATAAAATTTTTCTCTACATTTAAATTGAGATTATACATATTTAGGACTGTAAAATAATTGCATGCGAGAAGAACAGTTGAGAAAAATATAGTTCTCTTTCATAGTAATCCAATAAGAGAGGACTCGCTGCCCAAATATAATTCGAGGAGGAAACATATTTCTTCCGCGCGCGGAGGATTAAACTTGAGGAACTCTAGTAACGACGTTTATCGCGCGCAGGACCTCGCAGGGCATATTTATCACTATTTATTTACCCGGCGAATATTGTTTACAAGCCGCGAATTTCCAGCGGGAGCTCCTAGCCGCAATTAAAGACTTTCAAAGTACATGCTAACGAGCGCGGTCGTTTCCGTCCTTCGTGCGGCGCAACAACCTCGTGAGTTTAATCGCTCGACGTTTAATCATATTCATGACGGCCAAATTTTGAAGTATGTTACTATCTTATAAAGCTGAGGATGTTGGAAACGTGCGCGGAAAACCCCGTTTTCAATTTTAACTTAAGATACACCTTATACTTCGTTGCGAACGCCAAATGCGCGCAAACGGTTTACGAAACAAATTCCCGCTTTTTATTATCATGATATTAAATATCGAATATTAATCATGTTTTGGTTGAGATAAAAAAATTAAGGGCGCGAAGTTCTGTTTACTGTTACATGGAACTGTGGAAATTCCTTAGAATTTTAAGCAACATTGAAAACAGTGAATTTCTCTAGATCTGGACTGTAATTTTTAGTTAGAATGAAGATCGATTTTTATATGAAAGAGATTAATAAATGGTCGGGATTATTTTTCTCTCATTTATAACGACAATATTGTTATTTATGGCGACAATATTGAATTTGTCACTTCGCTATATTGCGTATACAATACACACGGTAGTTTTTTTAGTCACTGCTATTCACCCTTATTCGTCCCTTACTTCGCGTTCCCACCGGTATTACTGGCGACGAGCCAGCAATTATCTCGTCAAGACACGAGTGGCGTAGACGACGGAGACGATCTTGCTCATAAACGACCGGAAATTAGGACCGAAGGAACGAAATTAAGGAACGACAGAAGAAGAGGGACGTAACCGCGAATAATTCCAACAGTCGCATACCCCGCGAGTGGATAATTAATTATCGGCGATTCCGGTTCGCGCTAAGAGAAGCGTGGAATAAGGGTGGCGGCGTGTGTGCGCTCGCGCGAGGGGTGGTCCCGAAGGGATGTTATTGGGTATTGTTTAGACGCTCACTAATTACGGAACAGTCAGCCCGGGAACTCGACCCGCCGGGGCGGAAGCGAGGCGGCACTGGAGATACCTTCAATTTATTTTGCTCTTACGCGGCCCGGACCCCATTGTCTTGGCTCGTTTATTAACGGCGATGCCACTCGGCGGTCTGTTCGTGAGGGTGGATCTTTAAGAGCGTGTTTTTATATTGCGGGACACAAGACCTGAAAAGGCACTCGCGCACTCGTTTCTGCGGCACCCTATAGTTTTAGACGAACGTACAATTTATAAGCTTTATCCACTTTTCGTGCATTTTAATCCCGACACGTAGCTCTCCCATTCTTTCCAAATTTATATATTTATAAAAAATTTCAAAAAATTTGATATGAGTACTTTATTATATTTACTGATCTGTGATATTTCAATTTTATTTTATCTTATATCTTTCGATAGTTCGATATTTTTCGATAATTTCGATATCTTTCGAAGTATTTCAGAAATATAAAGCATTTAAAATATAAGGACCTTACATTTTTCATATGCTTCTCAAAGAATAAAGACACGCGATGGTCGTGATATAATGGTAGAAAATATAAAAACGTGAAAAGGTATATTGTAAATCGTTATTACGTAATTTGGCGAGTAAATGTTCATAAATAATGATTCTTATATTTTCTTCTTATATACAGATATATTGTTTTACAGAATTGCAACCTACAATTGAAACTTCGAAAATCTGAATCCATTATAATTAATTAATGAAAAAAGTTGTTTGGTTGCAAAAAAAAACAACGGTGGAATTATCGAAAGTGATCTGATCC